TTCCTTCTCCCGCAGTCACCTTATACCTGGTGAATTTTGTCCAGATTCTATGAGTTAGTTTCAGTCTAAGTTGGGGAAAAGAATAGAGTGTGAGTAAGTTAATTTTTAAATGGGTCCAATTTTTTGGGGGACCTCTAACAAGAGGCCATATGGCAAAACTGTTTATACAAAATCACTAATAAAACTAATGATATAAATGAACATGATTTATAACAGTGCATAAATGTGCCAAACTCTTAACGAAATAGATGAGTCATTTCTAATAGTTTGATGGCAAATTTGAAGATTTTCCCTATTATTATTAATAAAAAGTACATAAAGAGAAGAATTTTTTTAATTGAATTACCAACTTGTAAACGTGATAAAATATAATTAATAATTAATATAATTTGATTTATTATAACTGATTATTTATTGTTTATTATAAATTTATTAAATAAAATTACCTATAATTACATTTAAATAACTTGCTTGTAAGCAAGATTCATCGAATCAAGTTGTAGAAGGAAAGTGACTAGAAAATAAAATAAAATATGATTAATCACAGTAATCTAATCTTAAATATATGAAATCAATCTTTATTAGAAAAATAATTATAGTGTGATTTACCTTCCAAATTAAATGCCAAAAAATTCCTATAAATTCCTATCTTTTTTCCCCAACATTGTAAATTTTCATCAAACACATTTCTCTATAATTACTATTATGAATACGACCACCCACTCTACCCTTGTTCAAGGTCCCCGAAAGATTAGGAAGACTATCACCCAATTTGAGCAACTGACCAGGTTGTTAGTGCTTCCATTTGCATTCGCTCTTGCACATGTTTTTCCACATTGGTTGGAGGGAATAACCATGAGGAAGAACCGGTAATAAACACAAAATCATCAATTCTTGCTCTATACTTTTTCAAATTAAATGTTTATCCAATTTCACGCATCTAACCAAAAATTCATTTCTTATTCCAACTTTTTGATATTCTCATTCATTTTCTATGTATCCTTCTTCCCCAGCCAATGTGGAAAAACATGTGCAAGAGCGAATGCAAATGGAAGCACTAACAACCTGGTCAGTTGCTCAAACTAGGTGATAGTCTTCCTAATCTTTCGGGGACCTTGAACAAGGGTAGAGTGGGTGGTTGTATTCATAATAGTAATTATAGAGAAATGTGTTTGATGAAAATTTACAATGTTGGGGAAAAAAGATAGGAATTTATAGGAATTTTTTGGCATTTAATTTGGTAAGGTAAATCACACTATAATTATTTTCTAATAAAGATTGATTTCATATATTTAAGATTAGATTACTGTGATTAATCATATTTTATTTTATTTTCTAGTCACTTTCCTTCTACAACTTGATTCGATGAATCTTGCTTACAAGCAAGTTATTTAAATGTAATTATAGGTAATTTTATTTAATAAATTTATAATAAACAATAAATAATCAGTTATAATAAATCAAATTATGTTAATTATTAATTATATTTTAAGCGTATCACGTATACAAGTTGGTAATTCAATTAAACAAATTCTTCTCTTTATGTACTTTTTATTAATAATAATAGGGAAAATCTTCAAATTTGCCATCGAACTATTAGAAATGACTCATCTATTTCGTTAAGAGTTTGGCACATTTATGCACTGTTATAAATCATGTTCATTTATATCATTAGTTTTATTAGTGATTTTGTATAAACAGTTTTGCCATATGGCCTCTTGTTAGAGGTCCCCCAAAAAATTGGACCCATTTAAAAATTAACTTACTCACACTCTATTCTTTTCCCCAACTTAGACTGAAACTAACTCATAGAATCTGGACAAAATTCACCAGGTATAAGGTGACTGCGGGAGAAGGAAAATTTTACGCCATAACACTTTATCATCCCAAATATGATGTCTATCGTGTTTTTTTGTATTTATTGTTTCATTTTTTATTGTTTCATTTTATTGATCCTAGTAGGCTAGGATCAATAAAAAATCATTTCATAACTCTTGCACAACCAATAATTGATTTATTTATTTTACTCCTTTCGCCGGGAGTTTTCACCTTTGCTTCCTTGGTGATTCGAATTCACTATTCACAACTTTAAAGTTGAAAGTGATGAATACTCACCATCTGAGCAACTCATTCTTATTTTTATTTTCTGTTTGTCATCATATTCGATATTTTTACTAATAAAGCCAAAAACCTTTTTAACTAATAATTTCTTATGATCTCTTTAATTATAATCTATATTTATTTTCCGTAAAACTAAAACAATATATTATTTTTAAAATGGTATTTCCTTCGTCTCAAATTATCTGTCGTGATTCTTAAAAATAGTTGTCTTAAATTATTTGTTAGTTTAGAAGTTCAACATAGGCTCTTTTTCCATTTTATCCTTAATAGTAATTGTTCTTAAAGATTATAAACACCTCAATTATTAAGTGATAAATAATATAAAATAGTCCAAACTCCTCCCAATAAATATTTTCGGATGTATAAAAGAGAAACAAGATGCTAAATTTAAATTGGGAGAGAAACACTTTAATAAACCTTTTAAAAAATGATTGCGTTCATGGATTGTGACGTGCATCATATTTATTAACTTAGTGAAGGACATGCAATTTATACATTTTAAATTATGGTGAAATTAGTATAATATTAGACTACAAAACAATAATATTATTAGACTACAAAACAACCAAAAAGGAAAAAGAAATAGAGGATATTAGAAATACCTTAATTTATTTTGTGTGTACATGTAGCACACTTTAAATAAAGCTCCACAAATCTCATGCTTCAAAAATTATTTGATCTTTTGTAATCAAGAAAACACTTTTCTCGAACTGGTATTTAACCTTTCAAATATAAAAAAGGGAAAATACATAAAAAACCCCCTGAACTTGGCACGAAAACTTACTTTAGTACTTAAACTTTACGGGTAATTATTTACCCCCCCTTAACATATTTGAAGTGAATTAATATCACCCTAAAAAATATAATATCAGTCTCAAGTTGGCAAGTGTATTACACACGCGCCACATCATTGACACATTAGACCACATAAGCGCCACATCATAGCCACATTGGAACTCTAAAATTTGATTTTTGATTTTTTAAATTCATTTCTTTCTTTCCTTTTCAAAATATTTAAATACTAGTTAATCTTTAATTCTTAATTAGTTTAAGAAGGGAAAAAGGTCAAATATACCCTCGAATTTTCAAAAATGGTATGTATATATCCTCCGTTATATTTTAAGGTTGTATATACTCTTACCATCATACTTTTAGGTCATATATATCCTTAGATCAAACGGAAAGACACGTGGCATGATCTCAAATATTTGCCCTATTTAATTTATTTTATCAAAAATTAATTATTTTTAATCAATTTATTTTAATCCTTTCACTTCCCTTGCTGTCTTAGCTTCAAAGAGACGTCCGCTTCAACATCCAATTCTCTCCATTGTTGACCTTAAAGCTTCCAATTATATCCATTGCTCAACAAATCAAGCTCCTTTGTATATCCTTCGAGTTCGCTCCATCCGATTTCAAGTTCTCTCGAAGAAACCCCTAAATTTTATGTATCTAGATCTGCAACCACTATTGGAACAAAAATAGTTCAAAATATTCACTTAATTTGATTCGAATTTCATCACAATAAATAATTTCTAGATCTCCGATCAATGGCGAAGGAATTTAACGTCCCATCAATGAATTTTTCTATCCGGCGAAACTCCAGATCCACGGCAACATTGCTTCCAACGGCGTCGTTTCAACCACTGAAGTCGTAGAATCCTAAGATACCTTTCATGTCCTTCGATGTAGGATTTGTTGTTGCTTTCACTCTGCAATTCAGGTCCACCACCATCGGCGGCGGTGGCTCACCGGATTTTGAAGGCGAGCTATCATTGCTGGAGGAGCTTGGGATTAACACAAAACAAATCTACCAAAAGATGTAATTGATTGTGAATTTGCTCACGTAAAGGCAGATTTCATCTTCTTTATGGCATATTGTCGGGTTGTTCATCTTCTTCATGGCATAAATGCTGGAAAGCTTAATTTTGAAGGGATGGATAATTGGGATTAAAAAAATTATTTTAGGGTTAAAATAAATAAATAGGATAAATGATGAAGAAGGAGAAAGAGGATGGGGTGGTGGGGAGTTTGAGGAAGAAAAGACAAGCAGGAAGAGGGGTAGGTGGGGTTTGAGAAAAGCAGGGTGGGGGGTTTGAAGAAGAAGAAGAATGGGGTGGGTGGGTTTCCTTTTTTTTTCCATTATATATATAAAGTGGGATCATTACTTTTAAAAAAATAACTTAACGCGCTTTTAAAAAAAAATCTTTTCTTTTTTTGCCACGTCATCCGTTAGGGTGGTATTAATTCACTTCAAATATGTTAAGGGGGTAAATAATTACCCGTAAAGTTTAAGTACTAAAGTAAGTTTTCGTGCCAAGTTCAGGGGGTTTTTTATGTATTTTCCCTTTTAAAAAAAATAGTTTTATTAGTCACTTCAAAAAATTTATTCGTATTTTATCGTCTTCGATAATAAAGAAAATACTAGTCTTGTTCAAACATTTAACCTTATTAAATTACTCTTATTTAGAAGTGGGAGTTGGGATAGGACGAACACTGCAATTACATATTGTACCCAAGGTTTTCTTAGTGGTACTATAAGCGTGTACATAATTATTGGTTATGAATCAACTTTTACTTTTCAGAGGCCTTTTTTGCTTAACACGTGTCTTTTTTTCCTGCAAACTATGCGTATACCAAAGCACTTGCCGCTTTTCCTAATACCCAGATGGCCACTTTTTCTCTCTCCAACTTTCTGTCTTTTCCCTCTTTGCCTTTTCACTTACATCAATTGTTTTACAATTACAACTCTCAAATCTATGTTTGTCTCTTCCAATTCACTCTACATCTAAAGGTAAGATTGTTTATGATTAATGTTCGTGGTAATGGTAAAATTTGTGATTTTTTCTTTCAAAGATTTTGGTTGTCTTTTTCTTTCTCACCTCTGTTTTTCCTAATTTTTGTTTCTACGGATGTAGTTTCTGTTGGAAATTTTGAATCCAAATCTTTGGCGATTTTCTAATTGATTTTGGATTAGTTTATTGTCAATTTTTTTTACCTGCATGTTCTACTTTAAGATGCCTCAAATTGAGAGGACTGGTTAAAATTTAATACGGAACTCCATTAGTTTAGTTTGATCGTGATTCTAAATTTCAAGATGGAGCTTGTTATATTGAGATGCTGAGAGTTTGTTTCCATTTGTTATCCGAGAATATTAAGCTTTACTCATTATTTTAGATGCTAAAAGTTTGAATTGAAGAAATTGTGGATTTGTTATACCGCGTATGCTCTCATGTATGGTGGTGCCCAGAATTTTTTTGCCTTTCTTCACTGGTTTTATACCTATTACTTCTAAATTTCTTTGAATGCTTGTGCCTTTTTGCTTTAATTTTAGTTTTTTACTCTTTCAGATAATCTCTTGCTAGATATATACATGCATGTCATTATGCTTGAGCTGCACATCATCCCATTTAGTGCCTTTTCCCCATTTTTTCTTATAATTTGCTCTTTGAGTTTGCAGCTCACTCTACTTAAGCCTAAGATACTTGCAATGTTGCAGAGGTACAACTTTTTGTAGTTGACTTCGTACTCCATCTGTTCACTTTTATGATATAGAAAAGAATGTTTTTCTTTGGATTTGTGTTGTAATCAGTGAAGCCAAATGGCGAGAAAGTCCGGAGAATCAGATTCCAAAATCAGATTTTGGAAGACGATGAGGTATTTTCACGTATAGTAATGACATCTAATTTTCTTTGCATAATTATATTACTTCCTCACATCTCTCAAAAAGCTATTAAACTTTACATGAGAAACAAATTAGGATAGTTGTGTATGGTGATGATATTGGACATTATGCAGATAAGCTTCACATACAAATTTATCGGTGCAGACCAGATTCAACTAGACAACACACATAGATCCTACTTATTCACAAGCAATGAAGTCATCAACTGGTACCGACTTTTTACTCTTAACTCTCTAGATTTAATATGATTTGAATAGCACATTGAATAATTTATTTCGTGTGATGATAGGGAAAAAAAAAAGATATACTTTCAAGCCATACATTGGGCAGCTTCTCCAGGTCATCCACCCCTCTCATCGTGATTTCTGTTCACCAAAAGGTTATCCCCATTGCAGAAATTACATCACAAACTTCTATGAGTTTCACAGATATATACACTTGCTCAACTTATTCATGGAATAGAGTAATATAGACGTAATTTTCATTTTCCTCTGCAATTGGAGTTCCCTACATTGTGGTAAAAATGCTAATATCAAATTATATAGAAAAGTTTTGTGTACTGAAATATTTGGGTTGCAAAAAGAAAAAGCGTACGAAAGATAGAAGGCAGTTTGAATGCACAAAGTGCAAATGATAGACAGCTTTAGTGCCTTAGCATTGTGATATGCCATACACATGAATTCTATTTCGACAAAATCAAGCATATACGTGCAATATTTTTAAGTATTAACTCACTATGGTTCCAGTTGTACCTTCCGAGTTGATCTTATTGTTGCCAGTAGCTCGAAAAAAACATGTATTTCTGGTGATCTAGCTGAAAAATTTCTCTCCTTGACAGTAGAAGACATATTTGGCACAACCTATGTCAAGGTTTCCTTTATTTATACGTATCAACATACTTTATACATGTTTGTTTCGCTATTTCTGCCACAGTTGTGCAGCCAGTTGAATCATTCCTACCATGTAAACGCCTATAAATATTTATACTAACTTTTTCTCATAAGATATTTAAATCATACAATTTTTTCTTTTTGTTTTCAGCACCAGCTACTATGCGTTAATGATATTTAAATCATCAAATTTTTTCTTTTTGTTTTCAGCACCAGCTACTATGCGTTAATCATGTACAACAGATATAGTCGAATAGACTATTCTGCATTTTGCTGAGGAAGTCATCCAGATAAACTCTAACAGTTCTATCCTACATAGAAAAGGAACATGTTTTCCCGTCAAGCATTAACTAGAGAAACGCTAAAAAGGTGAAGCCGCTCATCACAAGCAAGGTGGAGATAGTGCCATCAGTTATTGAATCTGAATCTTCACACCAACAAAAAAGTTTATAAAAGGTTAAGTCAATTAATCATCCTTTAATTTGTTCCAATGCAAAGGGTAGTCCATCAGATTTATGTATCGTACATGCAAACATGCATCTACACTTGAAAGACAAGCACTACAATTTAGTTACGTTTGGTCGGAATAAGTTTGTTTCCTCATTTTTTCAAATTTTATATGTTATTGATTTTTCCAATCTATCTCAAATGATGTCCTCTTATTTCACACGCTAATTAGTCGAGAATGTAGATTAATTAATAACTCCCTCATTCCCTTTTGTTTGTTGGTACATTGGTAAGCAACATCCCATTCTATGTCATATTAGTTTCCTATATGTTTCTCCAGTAAATTCAATGGAAAAATCACTCTTACGATTTTCATTTTCTATCATTTCGGTGAAAATATGATTATTTTTTTATCACAACAACTATTCTTCTGACTAACCTTAATTCTACAAAATCAAATCAAGAAATTATAGGTTTTCCCCATTTTGATTCGATTTTCGATTTACTGACTATGAATTTCTTATTTGTGTAGAGACTGTAACACTAAATTCCTTATAGGGTGAGTTCACAATTTTTCGATCTACATGAGTTACATTCTGCTACCACAACAACTATTCTTCTGTTTTTCTCTTCAACACCCATCCTTTTATCTAACTCTGTTGAAGCTTAATGGAGATAAAAACAAACAACAAACTACCTTAAGTTGATGACATGATGGTTAACCTTAAAATGCACATGTCTCCTTTTCTGAAAATTGGCATGGACAAACACGAATCAGTAGGCAAGTTGCTAAATTAGTTTTTAGCATTGATGTTATCATAAACAAAGTCGCGTGAGATCATATGAATGAATTGTTGGTGTTCTGTTGTAATAGGAAATTCTACTTTAAAGTTTACAGACTAGCTTTCTGTTACATATGAATAACAAGGCTCAATCGGACATAGAAGACGGTCTCCATGTTCTAAGGTATGAAACTTACATTTAATATGTCTCTCATATTTCTCGATTTTGGTGTCTCTGCATTATGAGATAATATAATGTATCACATGAAAATTGACGAGGGTCATAGATGTCTAGCATGTATTATTTGCATCAGATGTTTTATGTTGAGCTTTAGTGGTGGAGTAGCAGTTCTATTCTGAATTTATTGCCTTTAAGCCTTCATGTTCTGGAAATCTGTAGATCAGGTGAACCTCAATAGGGATCCTCTCTTTTCCCGTGACACATTTCTTTTTTTGAGGCAGTCTCTTTTTTTCAATCTGACCTTTATATCTACTGATTGTTGAATAAAAAAAAACAGAAAAATATCTATTGATTGTGTTCGCCATGTCCAGTAGTTTAACATTTTTAGAGCTTCGCTTTTATGCACTCTAAGCTAACCAAATATTATGTGTTAATTACTGCCACCGTCTTATTGATTTAGTGGGACCATTCTTCGTTTTGCTTATGTGATTATCCTAATTTCTCACATTTGTTTACTTTTTCACCATATTTTTGTTGCTACTTTTATTTTGGTCTCATGTTTTTCATATGCATTAGTTAGGATCTGGTGATTTTTACTGATGATATTCTAGCTTTCTTGGGATGAGGTTCATTATTTTGACTGTAGTTGATCAATATTTTCTGTTAGTAGAATTCAAATATATTACTAAGTTGAGTTGTAAATTGGCGTTATGGAACTACTGAATATATTCCTGCGGAAATATGCTTGCTCTTCAATATATATTTTAGGAATATACTAAGATATATGAGATACAAATTTATTACAAATACCTAAAACTCTACGCAAGAACACTAGCCAAATATCAATATTCATGCTTTCAGTAATAGAAATCGCTATATCTAGACAACAAGACACACTTCTCTGTTACAACTACAGTTGTTTGGCTCTGCAATTAGTTTCAACAAACCTGCACATTAACTTAAGATGCTATCTTCTAATCGCTTAAATATCTCTCAAATTAGTAGCTCTTGCCACTTGATTCCCCCAAAAAAAAACCATTGTTGATGCACCACTTCGACAATGTGATGGGAGTGCAGCAAACGAAATCATTATCAAAGCTGGATAGTCTATAGGCTAGGCAAGTTCTTAAGTAATTGAGTCTATTCTCTAAATTCGGGTCCCTTTGGAGGATGTGGAGTAGGCCGGGAAAGATGTAACAACATTATATACGGAAGAGACCTATAGGTAGAAAACAATATATTCGACAAGTCTTAGTTTCTTTAATCATCTCACCAATACATTTGCCTTATCATGTGACCAAGGAAAATATAGCAAATATTTCCTTGTAAGATAATACTGCCATAACATGATTACACATAATAAGAGTCTCACTATAATAGCATCATGCAACTATATACTTTTTAGATTTTGTATTATGGTTATGATTATTTACATTTATCTTATGTTTTACATATCTAACCCCATCAGGTGTTTGAATAAGTCCATCTGTTAAAAGGTTAAAATTTCTTTTGCATTGTTGAAACTTTAGCAGAATTTTTTTAATTTTATATTACTTTTAAGTTCTTCCACATTGGTTCCCTTAAGTTAAATTTAGTTATTTTTACAATTAAAAAATTCATATTGTGCTTGCTATCACTAAATAGATTGAGCGTCCGACAAACAAAAAAGAAGAAATGAAGAAGAATATGGAAAACTGATCTTGGCTAAAGGTTACTAACAGGACAAGCTTTACAAAGAGTTTAATGGTAAGTTGTTTCTAGCATGCACAAGGAATCGTCTATATGGTTTTATTTTTTACTCTCTATAAATATGAAGGTGTTATGTAGTGGCTAAAGAATGATTTACTTTTGATGATTTATTGCCGCATCTCTTTATAATATATTAGTTGCCTCTATATTTAATGAAAACTCATTAGATGTTAAAGTATTTGTTAGAACATAAAACAAGTGAACATTAACTCCTACAGTAGTGTTATTTTTCGAGTCTTCTAGGCTATTTCATATGTCTTTAAAATGTTCCCTAAGTTCCAACAGTTGTAAGATATTCGATCTGATGAATAAGAAAAGGAAAATAGAGATTTTAATGCATTTTATTCCTAAAAGAAGTTCCTTCTTTCAACTGTGACCGTCTCTTCAAGTACTATTGACAGAAAGGACAAGGTGAGACAAGTGACTATATTTGATCTCATGATAAATGAGAAGAACTAACAATGAAATTCATTGTAGATGGTGTATTTTTTAAACAAAGAATGTAGGTAAAGTGACATACTGATGATATGAAAACATTTACTAATTAAGTATGACAAAATGAGGATATTAATTTTAACATGATCAAAATGTAAGACACTATAAATGAGCAAAATCAACTCCTAATTTCCAATTAGTAGGAAGATTCCTTGAAAGATATTTCAAGGGTTTGGCGACTGCTTAAAATACCCAAGTTATAATATATTAGGGGAAGAAGTACTTTCTCCTTACCTCCTACAACTCAAAGTTACTTTTCAGTATACTTCATATTTTCTATTTTTTAAGAAATTAAAGTTCCTTTTATTATAAAGTTTCTACAGAAGAGAATCAAGTATAAATTGTGTTCTCTGCTTTTTGATTGTTATGACATTTTCAATTTGAATAATTTCACAAGTAAGTTGCCAAAGATATTTACACAAATGGATCTGTGATTGTGATTTCTGTGAAATGCATTTGCACTATTTATTTAATGAGACATTTACCGAGTCTTCTTCATAGTAGTATTTGATTTCAGTAATGTGAACACAATATTAAGGAATATGATAAGTTTATACTGTTACCAATTAAGGTTTGCTTAATTTTGCGTCAGATTCTTTGTCAAAATCTTAGCCTGTGACAGCAATGCAGGGAGGACTTTTGAATGGATGGATTTTTCTTTGCATCAACTATTGAAGATTTATTTAGTTTTCACGTTCCTCTTTATTTAACTGGAACTACAGTGATTACAAAATTCCTTTTTTATATGTTGTTATGTATTATGTAATGACAATTAAAATGTTTTTGATACAAGTGTAGATGAATAATGACACGGTAGACAAATCAAAATTCAAGTCATTTTTTCTGCATTGAAAATTAAAAAAAGTTAAAAAATACACAAATATACGTGTTGGGCCGTGCTGGCATGGGCCATGCCCATCTAGTCTTACATATATAAAGCAGTCAATAAAATAAATTCAAGCCAGTTTTACATATACACGTGTCAATTTTAAAAAATAATTATACACGTGCCACTTTTACAAATTTAATTACATATATACAACAATCAATAAAATAAAATCAACTTAAATTTAACCGTTCAGTTGCACACTATAGAATTACGTGTCAGCTTCTCAATTACCAAATAGCAATATGTCACCATCTGAATTAACCTGTAATTATGTAATAAAAATAAATCAAAAACAATTTTAATTAAGAGCAGTTTTTAGTAAAGAGGTTCCATAACTCCCTACTATCTTATCCACAATTCATAAACTTCCGGATAAACTGCTTCTCAACTCACTTACAATGTACATATATAAAGACACCATTTGTGTCAAACTAAACATGTTTCTGTCGAATTTCACAATACAAAATATGACTTTATAATACAACACAATATCTAAAATTACCAATAACTCAATGAACTGGAATTTAAAAGTTCGCGTTGTTCGTTTTTGGATAACGCCCGATAAATACAAGCCAGATATTTCGTATACTATGGAGTTGATTTTGCAAGATGAAAAGGTATGATTTAAATCAACTTTCTGAATTTAATTTTATTCTCTAATTTATTATTATTATACATTAATGATAATGATTAATGCTTAACAAAATTTTGTTTGCATATAGGGTGATCGAATACACGCATCTATTGACAAGTACACAATAAAGTATTTCAGAGACAAGATTTATGATCATGGTTTATATCGGATGAAATATTTTGTCATAGCCTCTTATCACTCTAAATTTAAATCTAATTCTCATAAACACAAGCTTATATTCACTCAGAATACTATTGTGACTAAACTTGAAGATTCCTCTTTTCATGTGGATGTTTTTAAGCTACGCACTTTCAATGAAGTGGCAATTCAGCACAACACCGATGAAAATCAACTAATTGGTAAACAATAATCTATATTATATATTCATTTCATTTTATTGTAAATATTATATCTAAAAATTCAATTATTTTTCAAGATGTTGTTGGACATGTTGTCTCATATGAACCAATTCAATTGTCAAAGCAAGGAGACAACAGTAGTTCTTTAATGAATATTGTTGTAGAAGATGAAAAGTAAGTTTTATTAAACAATTTTCATTTAATAGGGTATATATCATTATTTTATATTTTCATAACATTGTTCACGCAGGAAAAATAATCTTCCTGCCACTTTATGGAGTGATCTCGCCTTTCAAATGCAATCACATTTATCTGGATCAACAGATGAACCATTAATTGTCGTTCTCCAATTAATGAAGACACACAAATTTAGAGGTTTGAATTCTAAAATTATTATTTGTTGCATAGTTTTTTTTTTTAAAAAAACAAATAATGAGCCCAGAGCTCTTTTATTGAATGAAAACAAAACAATAACAAACTTGGCCAAATGACCCAAACTAACTACCAGAAACCGACCCAGATAGCCCAATCCAAATTACCCCCAAATTAATTATACCCTTTAAGCTCCTATCCACTATGATTTCCCAAAAAGTTCCCCTTCATTTTTGTCATCGTGTCTCTGCTATGCGTTCTGTTGAGCTTCCAATCAGCTCCTTATTCCATTTGCTTTGATCCAGCGATGCCTTCGAGTCTTCCATCAGTATCAACCCAGCTTACCAAGGTAAGCATCTTTTTCTACTCTTTGACCCTTCCTATTATGTTTGTTGTCTGCTGATTACTTATTCTGGTGCCTGTCATATTTTTCAGATGCGATTTCAAAGAAGTGCTTAGTTATGTGCAGGTAAACCTCTCTTCTTTCTTCCCTCTTCTGCTCTTTCTTCAATTTCTTTGACTTTGTCTTCTTTCTCTAGGTGAAATTTTAGCACCTTCATCCATGGCCGTCTTCTCAGCTCTAGGTCTTCAACTCTCCATCTGATGTTCATGCTCTCATCTTTTGCTTGTATCAGTTTATGTTAACTGTAATAGTCTAGCACAGATAGCCTAGTACTCTTTAATCTCAATATTTTGTAAGCCCTTATGTGATAACGCCTATTGCTGCAAATCTCTTGTCTGTGAAATTCTTTGCCTACTTTAACTTTGTACATTTTCATGCTTATTTTGCTGCACTCGAATCCTCCTTGTTTTTATTCTTAAAGTAGGGATACCTGATTTGTCTGCATTTAAAATACTCCTGCATTCACCTGATAACTGCTAAGCATTCTCCCACTGCTTTAGGCCATTTTACGTATATGCTTCATTGACCAACTTGTCTACTAACTGATTAGCTTCTCTAAAAACATGTGTAATATCTGCCTGTATGTTCTCTATAATCTCTTGAATCTCTTCTATCTCCTCTACCTGATTCCATGGAATTTTCCATTCATTCCTTATCATTTTTGTGACCACCAGTGAATCTGTCTCAATCAACACTTTGTTGATTTTCTTGATTTTACAGTATCTGAGTGCTTTTAGGATAGCCACTGTTTCTGCTTCTATATTATTCCTTATGCCAATCTTACATGCTTCTGCATACATTAAATTCCCTTCATGATTTCTAACACAAAAGCTATATGCACTTTCTCCCGGATTTCCTCTACTTGCTCCATCTGTGTTGCACTTAACACCCCCCTCTTGAGGAAGTCCCCAAAACACAGAATGGTAGTGTAACTTAGGTTTGTACTCCTTCATGGCCCCAAACATTCCTTCCCAATTTCTTGGAATCTGAATCCAAGGGTAAAGATGTTTAATCAGCTTATACACAGTATCTTGACATTTTTGCTGCAGCATATAATAGGACACATCTTTCCCATGTCTTCTAGCATTTCTACTCTTCCAAAGCTCCCACATTATAATGGCTGGAATTGCTTATAATATTGACCTCATCTTTAGCTTATTCGATGCTCCCCACCAATTAGTGATTATATGTTGTAATGTTCCCTCCGTGTTAATTCCTGCACAAGTAGCAAATTGCTTCCATAGCTTTTGGGCTATGGAAGCTGTTAGAAAAAGATGGTTCATAGTCTCCTGCTTATAATCCTCACAACAATAGCATCTGGATGCCACATTAATCCGCATTTTTTTCAGGTTGTCATCAGTAGCTATTCTCCCTTTCCAGCATCTCCATACAAAGAAGCTAATTTTGAAAGGTATTCCATTACACCATATTTTACTTCACCACCAATTAACATCTTTCTTATTTCTAATCCCTTCAAACGCTGACTTTACAGTGAAATTATCACTCGAACTTCCCATCCACCATGTTTTATCCTTTTCTCCTTCTATAATCCTAGGGGCAAAACTTTCCACAATGAATTGGACCATCTCCTCTGATAACATACCTCTCAATCTTTGTATGTTCCATCTCCCCTGCTCTATCAACTCCCGAACTTCTATTTCATCATCAATCTCCCCCTTCTCCTCTATATAATAAAGTGCTCCCAATTTTGTCCAATTATCAAACCAAAAACTCACCTCTCCAGCCTTTATTTGCCACCATATGTCATGCTCTATCTCATCTCTTACCTGAATCATCTTCTTCCAAGCATGTGAAGCTCCTACGCTTTTAACCATAAGAGGATGAAACTTTTTGCAGTATTTACTCCACATGAAAGAACTCCATAATGAAGTGGAAGTTCTAAAGTTCCACCATAATTTACAGAATAATGCTTTAGCAACATCATGTATAGATCTAAAACCCACACCTCCTTCAGACCTTGGAAAACACATGTCTTCCCATGCTACCCAATACTTTCCTTGTTCCCCACCTGTTTTGCTCCAGAAATAACCAGCAAACAGTTTATGTAACTTCTCAATGACTTTCTTTGGGGGGTTCATAGCTGATAGCAAATAAATTGGCATTGACTGAAGTACATTTGCTATCAAGATGTATTTCCCTCCATATGACAGCCACTTATTCTGCCACATCATTAATCTACTATGTACCTTCTTCACCAATTCTTCAAAATACGAGACCCTTTTTCTTCCATAAAAAACTGGACAGCCTAGATAAATAAATGGGAAAGAGCCCTGCTTTATGCCTGCAATTCTCCTTAATCTCATCCCAACAATTAGCGGGGTATCATCATGCAGATAAAAAAAACTTTTATTTAAATTGACCATTTGTCCTGAAATATTTTCATATCTCCTCAACACTCCCATCATCTTACGAATCGACTTTATCTCCCCTGAGCAAAAAAGTATTGTATCATCTGCATATGACAAATGATTGATGGGAGGACTCCACTTTGGCATTCCATAACCCTTGAAATCTACATCGTCATTCAGATTATTTAAACCCCTAGCTAAAACTTCCGCAGCTATTATGAACAAAGTTGGAGATAAAGGATCTCCTTGTTTAAGCCCTCTTGACGACTTAAAAAAACCATATGATTTTCCATTAACTAAAATTGAATACCAATTATTCGAAATTAATCTCCACACCATATCAATAATGATTTCAGAAAATCCAAATCTCCTTAGCACTTTAATTAGTTGTTTATCATTATTCCAAATATATTTATCTAACTTAATAAATCTTATAAATTATTTTACAGATACCTATTATATTCGTAGTTGTTGGTACCAAACCAAACTATGGATTAATACAGATCTACCACAATCTTCTGTAAAATCAAGTTAATTGCATCAGGCGAATATGAGAAGGTTTCACAAACAAGTTCACAACAACATGTTTCAATTTATGAGGAGTTATCTACAGGAATGGTGTCTTTTAAATTTATTAAAGATTTCCTTCAATGCACTGAAGTGAGTTGTATACTATATTATTATTTATAATATTATTTTTTTATAGTACATATAACTGTCTAACCATCTATATTAACTCACAGGAGTCTAGCTATTGGATTGCTGTAAAGATTGTTTGTTTGGAACTTGGTCACAAATGGTCATACTTGGCATGCAAGAAGTGTATCACAAAGGTTGATCCATTGGGAGACAAATATTATTGCTTAAAATGCAATGTTGAAGTTATATCAGTTATTCACAGGTTGGAGCAAACAATATAAATATTTAAAATTTAATTAACATTATATAACTCTTTATTTTATACATTTTAGGTATCGACTTCAAATTCATGTTACTGATGAAACTGGATTTATATCATTATTATTGTGGAATAAAGAGGTTCTACAACTAATTGGAAAGAGTGCCAAGGAATTGAAGGAAGGATTAATAGTAGATGCTGACAATGGTTATCCAACAGAACTTGATACTTTGATTGAGAAAAAGCTCATGTTTAAAGTCCAGATTAAGGATTCAAACATTAACAAGAATGATAATGTCTACAAAGTAGTTAAGTTCATTGATGATGAAGCATTACTAAAGGAATATTGTCATCCTTCTCTTATACACAGTTTGATTGTAAGTGTCAAAATCATTAAAATTTAAATATAATTTTCATATAAATTAATTAACTATAATTTTTGAAACAGGAGGCATCCCTTGATTGTGAACAGAGCATTGATGAAGATAAACTAATTGAGGTATATAATTTAATTCAACCTATTTATTTCGTATTTTTAACTTTTCAGATTTTAAAACATAGTATGTTATTTTACATTATGTGTTTTACTAGGCAAAACACATAAATTTTTGATTATATATGTATTTAAATTATTTACAGACACCTATCAAGAATAGCATTTCAGATTGTGTTTCTTCACAAACAGAAGATGTGATTGATTTGACTGAAAAGTTATATCCCAATAATGGCAAACACGTTGGAGTTCGGTCAACACATGCAAATGATGAGGGATTAAATATCAAACTACCATCTAACAAGTTACGCAAAGTTATAAAGAAGGAGAAGAAGGCATAAGTTTGTCAGAATGGGAGATAGACTTTAATTATTTAACTTAGTTTATTTTAGAATATTAAACTATCCATTTCTGTTTTAAGAATGTATTTCATTGTGTTAGTACTGATTGTTGTTATTTTACTTTCTATATATGCATATGATGTTTTTTTACTTTTAAACATGCGTCATTCTTTGTGTGATATATAATTAAGTGTCAACTTCTCAAGTTTCAAATAGCAAAATCTGTCAGATAACTTCAAATAACAATGTGTTGAATACATATAATAATATGAATGATGCTAACAATAATAACTACATACTAACCTTAAGTATTCCATATAAATCAATTAAATTGAATAAAAATTTACTTGCAAGAAATATTTCTTCCATTAAACAACCTCTAAGCAATCTACAAAACATAAGAGACAATTGATTAAATCCTGAAGTTCAAAATTATTGTTCTCACTTAGAATGAATTAAGTCAGAAAGTGTAGTATGAAAAATGTACAAAACAGTCTCATATATCCATCAATAGAACCGCTCACAAGCTATAGTATAATAGGTATCCATAAATATCATACATTGAGTCTATACTATCCACAGAAAAATAACCATCTTTAAGCTAATCTATAAAAAAGCATAATTCAAATATGAAAATTTTTGATAAGTCAAAATAGAACCTCCTTAACATGTTAACTAACAGAATAGTCATAGCTTCCCTCATAAAACCAAAATATGACTGCCATAGGTAATCAATAAATAGGCTTTCACTAACTTTATGTATTAGAATTGTTCAAGCACGGCAGGGAGTAATATTAGAGTTAAACTTTGATTGGATAATACGAGGAGAAATAAGAGGATTACCTCAATCTATTATATGTACATGTGTATATAATAATCAAGTACAAACTAACTTAAAGAATAGATCTTAGTATAACACAAATATAAAATTTATTGCCAAGGAGACAGTTATATCTACGTTCTAAAACATATTAAACTCAATGAACAGAAGCACAACTCAGTTCATCCCATATTTCTCTACACCTTAATCACAATGTTGAACCAGAAAAAAATATATAGTTATGAATAGATTTTACATAATTAGAACAAGATTAAGTATTACAACAATCATATATAGTAAAGTATATAATTATGAATAGCTTTCTCATAATTAGAACAAGAAGGCTTGAACTAATCAAATACTAATCTAATGGACGTATAAACTTTCATATATTCCAACAAGATAGTATACTAAAGGTAATATCCAATAAATTTTGAAAATTTATCACACAGTTTCATATATTTGAGTCTCTTATCATTATGATAAATCTATATGTATGCTTCTGACAAAAAAACATTGAAAATAATATATGGTCATTTAGACATATTATTTAGACAGATTTTATTATATAGTTTTTTATATTAACTGACTGATATTTTTAAATTTTAAAATAATAATAATGACGGTACAAAAACAAGAGTCTTGAGACTCAACTAACAAATATATTGTGTAAAAATCTCCCTGTTTTGCCCAACTGACTGTAAATTTTAATTTTACAGTTATTCAATAATAGGTTACAGATCTAAAAAATTAATAAACTGCTCTATATTAACTGATGTTCAGTTATGATGTTTTATCCATTTAAAGAGATATAGAGTTCAATAACATACAACAAAGACATGAAAGAATCATAAAAAATTAAGCAAGAAAAAACAGAATCTGCTTACAACAGAATCAAGAACGTGGAAAACACTCATTAGATGTCAATGGTTAGATTTTTCAGATCTTTCTTTTGTTTGATTAATTGAGTAACTTTCTTACACTTTCAGAAACACTTTAATTAAGTGTTAAAATGTTTATAAATTGGACAAACACATCCATTAAAAATTGTAATACTATAAGGGGGAAGAGATTTTGATGGAAAGACATGATTACTGATTTCTTTTAAATATGACACAGATTTAACAGATTTTACAATCTATAAAAACATACATTATGCCTAATATAGTTAATTTAGTGGCAATACATTCA